GGTCCGTTTGCGAAATATTTAGATTAAAAGTGTTTTGTCCTGTCCCCTCTGTCCCCTCCCCCCTCTACCAACTAAACCGCTGTTTTTGTAGTGTAGTATATATAATAATAAAGTTAAATTAAAACTATCTCAGATAAATAAAATTAACAAGTTAACGACTAATAGTCGACCAACTTAAATACACTTGGATACGTAAACATTTCGTTACAACTCCATACAAAATGACTTAAAACTAGATGCGTTATAACTTTGTAATGTTATTGTATACTGTATGAAATAAACATTGTATGTAGACGACTTCTATGCATTACTACTATAGCTATAAGTACTTGGTCTTTTGGAGGTAGGCAGGGAGGATCTTTCTTACTTAAGTACTACTTTCGCTTATTTTTTAGTTTTTAGTTATTTTAGGCCTCATTCGAAGTATTCATATAATCATATAGCTTCGTTGTTTCATTCGTGGTACTCTTGGATTATGCGGGTGACCCTCAGGATAGTTTAGGGCAGTGGCGGTTTTCGGGAAGGTTCGTAACGGACAAATATATGGTCGGATTGCACTGCCGGTAATATATAGGTAGATATCAACTATGACGATCTTTGTACGGATTTGGCATGTGACTTCGATCGTATTATTTTCAAAATCAAAAACTAATTTTTATCTGTTTTGAATACCACTCCCTATAAGTCTCATTGGAAATAAGTCCTTCAATTACCATCGTCCTATTTGGGCACCATTTATTGTCGTTATAGCGGTCAAACCGGAAAACTCACTTAATATGCTCATTATAAAAAAAACCTTTCTAAGTTCACGTATTGTGACGGGCAACTACCGGAACACTACCTCTACAATGTGCGTGGCCAGACACGCACTTGACCAGTTTTATATAAAAGCCACCTTTGGAAACAACCAAAGTTACAGCCTATATACTCCCTACTCCTGGATACAGGCCTCCGCTCATTTCTGAGAGGGTTTTAGGGCAAAGAATTGTCCCCCGCGCTGCCCTAATGTTTTTTGGCGTACTTCACATGCCTTGGAATATTTTTTTCTTATTTTTCAGACATGCAGGTTTCCTTACGATGTTTTCCGTCACCGCCGAGCACGTGGTAAATCAACACTTAAAATTGCAATTAACAATTTCATTGGTGCCGGCGGGGATCGAACCCGGTTTTCTCGCGTACTGTGAAATTTACAGCGAGCGCTAACCATCTGAGCTACCACGGAACCATCTAATATAATGTAGATAATATAAAATTTGTGATTACTTCGAAAATGCTATGTACCTAGTTAATACTCGGAAATCTCGATCGACGATGGAAACTGACAAATCGCCGTCTACGAAGTTGCCTGCTTCCCGCGGATATTGCAGTCAGTCTGTCTTCTGCGCAAACACAGGGGGGAAAGTTTATATTTAATCTGTGACGAGTTGGACGGCTCGCGAAACACATACATTCTTTACAACTTTTTGTTTTGTTTTCTCAAAGGTATTGATATGTTCTGTTGTTTTCAAAGTAGATACATTTTACAATTCTGCTATTGAATGTAATGAAACAATCACATATACTTGCTTGATAAACATGCCACTTTAACAAACGTAGAAAATAGTACAGAATAAAAAATAAACAGATGTGTAATGTGGAAAAGTAGTCAATCCTTAGTGAGAAAGTTCAGAGTACCACAATACTCAGCCATGTTTTAATTAATTATATCTTAAGAACTTAAGATATATGCACTCTGTGCCGTCAGTAGTAAAATAATCCACTACCCTATATCATCCCGTTGGTATCATAGTGGAGGTGATAGTGGAAAACTTAACAGGAGATCGATAACAGCATTTTCCAACCAACTCCCCTGTTATGCGTGGCAATGATGGCAAATTGTCCCCTACGCGGAAATCAATAATGAGGGTACAACAGTATACTTACGAATGTAATGATGAACGATGAGACATAAACGCATTTAAAGTAAACATAAGACTTCATAACAATAAAAATGTATCTACTAACTAGCGACAGAAAGTCTACATCCGTTTTAATTTAACGTCGATTTAAGACTTCATTATTGTTCGGTTTCTATATTATTATTTTTTTCATTTTACCACCACTCTGCACTGCCAATATGAATTAAAAAATACTGCTTCAACTTAGAAAGGCTCAATGTTCGTCGTCTTAAGTTTTCTAAAAGAAAAGTTTTTAATAGAGTTGTTATATATGCACTTTTTGCTATATATAGATATATATTGTAGCCGGCGCGTTGTTGCTGCAAAAGAAATAATTGTGGATATAATTTTAAATTTGGCTGAATTATATTGTTTAATTATAAAGGATAATTACATTCATTGAAATTGGTAACTTTCAAATATCGGTACGATACGCGCGCCGTCTACTGCAAGTTAATTGTACTATGCCTATAACATTCGCGGAAGCTTCGTTACTGTATGACATGTACATTTCTTGCTTTAAATTGTTCTCCGGCTGAAAATGTGAATGGATAATTATCTTTTTATTAAAAGTAGCTGTGATAGGCATGGCGTTAGAATGTTATTTTTATCAGAAACTAGCTGGTACACGGCGCGTTGCTGCCGTAGAAAAAATAATTGTGGAAATATTTTTTTAAATTTGGAAAATTATATTATTTAAGTTTAAGTTGTACTATGCCTATAACCTTCGCGCAAGTGCAAGCAATAAGTTGACAAAGTTTTAGCGCAACCGGTAACTAAACGTTTCTTGCATAAAGCTATTGAGCGTATAATTTGGGATTCATACCCAAACTAGGCTAGTGCCTCTGATGAGGTGAACGCCAGCCATCGATCATACTGTATTGTTTATTCACATAGTGTCAAAATGATGAATGATGAAAAATATTAAAATTTGTATTTTTTTTAATGAAACATAAAGTAATAAAAAACTTTATTGATTACCAAAACAAGCATGAAAGTCATCTTATTTCATTAACAGTTTCAATTTAATAAATAGTTTTAGAATATTTCAAAAGCAAACAAAAAATTTACTATTTTCAAAGAATATCAATTTTCACTTATTATCATATACTAGGTCGCAAATATTAAAATTCACCGTTTTTAATGTGTATCATAATACTGTATTGAGGTAATAATGGGTGTAGACATATCTATTACTATGTTTTGTTCTGTACTGTTAAAAGCAGTAATAATATTAATATATAATTTTCCAAGCCTTGCCGTACTACTTAACCTTCAGACGATATTACCTACAAAAACCGCAAAGAAATTTCGCTTAAAATTGATGACCTATTGAACTGAGTACTGAATTAATGGAAGGGAAGCAAATGAAAAGGAATCCGGTACGTTTTTATTGTTCGCATGAGTTATGATTTGGGCAAATCACGCTGACACGGAAATCAACGCGGTTGAAAGGGATAAATATTGAATGGCCGAAAGAAGAAAGTAGTACACGATGATTCGACGTATTTATTGGTAGAGCTGAAGCAGCTACGGTCAACTGAATACAAAATCAATTGGCTATTTTATTTTGACGCTTTTAGAAAACTGAAATAAACTTTAATAAATGTTGATTGTGTGTGATTTTCTGTTTAACAGTGACTTTAAAGAATTCATCGATGACTAAGAGAAATATTAACCTCCTTAAGATAGTATTATATCATGATATAATAGGTACGATTATCATCACCATTACACCCTTTCGGAAGTTCAAAGATGAACATAGAAAACCTCAACCAAGTAATGTCACAAAGCACAGACCTGAGCTACTTGCGTCTATCGATTAACTGAATGTCTTACCAGGTCGTCACTTCATCTAATAAAGAGGGTTGGCTAAACTTTTCTTATCGGTAAAGTTGCCTGTTCTTCGAGTTATATGGCCAACCCCTTGCCACTCACGCATAACTTTCAGCTTAAGATTCCAACTCAATGGAAACTAAGTAAACATACAAAATACATTTCTATTAAGGGCTGAATTTTCAATCATCAGATAAAAAATTATACTTTAAATAAATTATGATGTAACTAAAAATAAAAGTGAAACAATAAAACTGTTTTATTCATACGGTTGTAATCTTTAATTTATTTAAATTATATCTTATCCTACAAATAATTTTATTTCCTGATTGAAAAATCGGCTTTTAGTTACTATACACTACTACTATATACTATACACTTCCTAGCTTATACATGAATGAAGTAGCAACAATTGGCATTCAAACTTGTCATTGTTTACCTCGAGCGAGAAAAGAAAAACACAACGATTAAAACATAAAATTTTAGTTTACCAAGTAAAACAGCACTACTACGACATAGTATATTAGGGATCACTCCTATTATCTACAATCATTTGCCTAACAATATCCTCGTAAGGCCCAACCTAAATTTAGGTCGATATACATTACGACCCAACGTACTAAAAATAGGTGCAAGTAGTTGCGGCCCAGAACTTTGGTTAAGTACAAAAGTGTGTAAATGTATTACTTTTGGTCAAATTATTTTAAGGGATATTTCCTATACCTAAAGTTACCTATTTAACGCAAAAAATATGTTGAAATAGCTTGTCCTTATTTTAGGTCACTGGGCCACTGTTTAATATATAACATTAGTTTCAATCAATCAAATATATTCAGTTATTTATCACGGAATAGCAAATTGGTATAATTTGCTATTCCATGATAAATAACTGAAGAAATAAAAATAAACTTTGTAAAAAAAATATTTATTATTTTCTTTCTTCATTTTAAACCTTATTAATTAATAATTTCATGTAACAAAATTACAAAATTTTCATCATCAGTCTCATTTTTAGCAAACAATGTATCTTCGCATTACACATGTTAATCATATTACTAAAATAATGTTCTTACTTACTATAATCAATGGCAATATTTCGAATAAAAATATTTAAGTTGTCGTATCACACACAATACTAATTAGAATACTTAAAAAAGAAAATTTTAAACAAATGTATCAATCAATAAATCTCAGTGTGGAAGTTATAAAAACAATTTCGTTCTTTAGTTAGGCACAAGTGAATGTTGCACTTCTTGCATATAATTGTGCTTTTCTTGTTGCATCCTGGTCTTCTGCACCTGTTTTGAACTTCTCCAGCCGACGGCAAATGGAGTGTACCATGAGTTCTTGAACTGGCGCTGGGAAGCCGTACAGCTGGTCTAGAGCATTTAGGTCGAGACTTTTCTTCGTCTTCTGTTTCGGAACTAGTGGTGAAATTAGCAGTTACTAAAGTTTCGGCTATCTCCATTTTAAAACTCCTCAGTTGCTGAATTTTTTTCACCGGAACATTTTTGCGTAACTCTTTTGCTTTATAATTTAACCATGAATTAGTTGTAGCCAAATCAAACATGTGTGCGATAAATCGCGTTGTCCATTTTCTTGTTCGATATCTCGACGGCGCCACAGCTAAGAGACGATCAGCAAGATCGACTCCTCCCATATTAGAATTATATTGTTTTACTACTTCCGGTCTTGGTAGAGTAACATACACTTTATTCTGTTTACACCATCTTTGGCAGGTGTCGGAAGTTTGGGCAGCATGCACAGTAGACAGGAAAGTGACAGGTTTGTTATCAAACCATTTAGTTATAGTTTGCTTAGCTAGCTATAGTTCTTCTCATCGTTGACCAATACCTGATAACTCCCTCACCCTGCTTTCTTTAAGTCTTTGTCCTCTTTGAGTATTAATCTTGCGGACTTAGGTACTCTATTCTTCATCAATGTACCAGCGCACATCAGGCCTCTGTTTTTTAATTCCACAATCAGTGTCTCGGTGGTAAAGTACCTATCACAGTAAATTACATGTCCCGGAAAAAAATCCTCCGTTAAGGCAAGAACTGCCTACTCTCCCAACCCGAATGATGTATCAGCATAAGAAGGATATGTAGTCGCCCCTTGATATATATCAAAATCACACACTTTTCCGGTGGGATTCGCCAAGACAAAAGTTTTTAAACCTGTAGGATTAGGTTTACCTGGGCAATATTGCTTCATCCCACAGGCGCCCGTAAAAGGAATTATCATTTCGTCAATTGACAGTTTTTGATCCTTTGGTATGGAATGACAACCTTTAAGAATTTCTTTGATAAGAGGGCGAACTTTCCAGAGCTTTTCTTTACTTTTATCTTCGGCAGAAAAGTCGTTGTCATTAACGAGTTTTAAAGAATTCCGAAGAATGAAAAATCTGTTCCGAGACATATGATCAGCTACAAAAGCAACACGAAATTTGTGTTGCCAGTACATTCGGAGAATTGGATATCCAATACAAGACATGGCTAAATTAATTGCAATAAAAATGTAGCACTCGGGAAGTGTCAAATTTAAAAACTGGCCGTTTCTTGGTAGATACATCTCATTGGATCTATCTACGATAATTTACACCAGCTCATCATTTACGTATCGACGAAAATAATCAATTTTACAGAATTTTTCGTCATCAAGAGGTAAATACGATGGCTGCATAAAAGGAATTATATCAGGATTAAAATCTTTTTCTTTCCAACCTGCAAATTGTCCATCGTCATTGCCAATATCCTTGTTATCTTCAGCTTCCACCAGCAAGGTACAATCTCCCACGAGATGAACTTCCACTTCCACTACTTGCTCGAGAAATCGAAGAAATTCTTCGATCACGACGGCCACCTCGACGCTGTAAGCTTCTCCCTCGCGTAAAAGAAGAATTAGAAATCGCAGGACTTGAAACTGTAAGCTCACCTTCAGAATCAGAAGACGATTCTGCTGAATTGTCCGATTGACGATTTCGGCCCTGAGGTCGATAATCCACATCATCGATATCATCATCGCCGTCATCATCTTCGAACTCGGATACGTCCAGATTAAGCTGATTTTCTATAGCTTCGTCGTCCATGGCTTAAACAAAAGAAAATAAAGTAAACACCCAATGTCCTAAAATCATGACATAGAAATTAGGCTAACTTTTACAATAAAAACCCACCGACCTTCTTTTGGGACATAGTTTTTGTCGTTCGAATATTACGGAATTAAAATTACTTTGCTACGAAAAAAACATGTCGGAACAAAATATAATATATCCGCAATACATTTTAGACATCACCATGTTATGATTATAAAGATATGAATAGATTTACTTACCAATCTCCACGAGACTTCCGTTCACATGAGATGAAATGTCAAAAAGACAGATTCTTGGTTCTTAAAAGTCAAGTTGACATTGCCAAAATTAGAGATGCGTTCATAGTTAATAGTTTTTTGATGGCAGATTTAAAATGGCGGGATTATTTAAACCAAAAATTACGTTCAAATATCATGTCATAATTTTAGGTCGCCGGGCCGCAATTCGACGATTTTAAAAGCTGTGTTGGGCCGGAATGCCAAAATATTTTTGTCATTAAATTAGTTCATTAGGCCTTACGAGGATACTAAAGAAAATGAAATAGAAGACTTTAAAAAAAAACAAAAAGCTCTATTGGTTGAAAAGGTCTACTACTCAATCCAAGAATTTATTCATGAAAAACTTTAAACATTTTTTTAAACATTAGCTATTTAACTTTAAACATTTTGTGTGTCTTATTTACAAATTTGTGCTTTATTTTGATTTTATTATTATATCTTGACGTTTTTAAAATTATTGTATTGACATTTACTAAAATTATAGAATTATGATTTGATGATTGACCCGAAATTTATTTCTATTTAACTATTTGTATGCCAATTAATGGCAGATCATAGAAAACACAATAAGCAATTGTTAACATCTTTTTAATGAATTACTAGTGAACAACAAATAAACTTATTATTATTATTATTATACTTTATTTTATCTTTGGTTTAAACCAGCTTGTTTCAAGACATAAGAGTATGAGAAAATATCAAGAATGAAGAAGCAAATGTCAAATTTTGCGAAGACTGTGGCGCGACGATTATGGAAAGGACTGAGACGTGCTACCCCGATATTATCAATAAACCACTTTTTGTATTACGGACTGCGTTTGTTTTGTCAACTAAGTATTATTACAACTTGATCTTGGAAACGAAGTTCTAATCTTGCAAACGCTGATGGGGCCTTTCCTAAATCGCTAATTACTTTTAATCCAATTCTCTTTATATTATGACATGGTTTTCACTTTGTTATAAGAAATAAGGTTAATACACTCCTGACCCGATGCTAAGATCTAGAGCATTTGTTGCTTCCTATCTAGGTAAAACCCCTACTGGATGAAAGGACTATATGTGTCAACAGTTTGGATCAGTCTTCTTTAGTATCAACTGTTCAGAATAGGTAAGTGATTCTACTGTCGCCATGTAGTTGCGATGTATGTCCGTGGGCGTTTTAAAAGACGACACAGGGAAACTGGAACATAATAACATATAATCATTAAAAAAGAGGCGACTATGAGAGCTCTTTTTGTTTAGCAGTGGATTTGAAACTTTAAATTCATAATAATATAAGTAATAATTTTGTATTACTATCACTATCACCATCATTACAGACTATCGCAAGTTAGCTGCTAAACATAAGCCTCCATCGTAGCTACAAATTGCGGTCCTAGCCACCTGCATCCGTCGACTATCTGCGTGTTTCATCAGGCTATCACTTTATCTAGTAGAGTCTTGTACTACACTGCGTTAGCTACTACGAGGCAGTCAGACGAGATCAATGAGATCGCGAGATCTTTCTTCCCCATCGATTATCGGTTCTACGAATTATATGGCGGGCCCTTTTCCACTTGAGATTTCTGATCCGCTGGGCTATGTCAAACTATGGAATGTTATAGCTTGTTCGCGACGGCCTAACAACGCTAAGAAACAAAGTGATAAAGAATATTGTTTTTTGTATTAATAGTGAAATTACCGACAAAACTGGGTGAAACCTTGTATTGATATAGTTGTGTAGCATGTTTATAACTCTTAGTATATTTGTATAGAATGTCGTTTTGATAACAAGTAATATAAACAACTTTTACTGTATTAAGAAAAATCGACCAATCGCAGCGCGTCTTATCGTAGAACTCTCTAGAAGTTTTTAATTAACTGCGTAATATATATAATAGTTCATACTAAAAATAATGAAAATAATTTTATGATTCTGAAAGAGTTGTAAATATGACATTGAATTAGCATATGGCTTATAGATTAAGGAAGTGTAGGAATATTTTGTATAATTAAACGCATTTGGTAGTTATAGAAAAATCAAAGAATTAATATACCCTAATATTATGAAAATTTGGGATATTTCGTTTAATAACTTTTTACAATGTTAATGTTTTTGAGTAACCTTTATGATATACAAAATAAAGAACCAGACTACCGATTTGACGATGTATAGCATGTTAGTGTAGCAATTAGTTTTGTATAGAAAATATTGTAATTTATGCCATTTGCATAGTGAAAAGTTTATGCAATAAAGACGCAAAACGGAAAATGGCAAGCGGCTCACTGTAAGGTATAGCCAAAGTCTACCTCAGGGGCTCGGGACCCAGTAGTAGTGTAGTAGTGTGAAGAAATACCAGTGACAAACAGTATTATCCAGTAGTAGCTGAAGTAACTAGTAGCAGTATATAGTGAATAGTGAAAGTGTTAGCTAGCCGAAAAAGGTCGTAACTGACATTCGCAGTTACATATAGTGAAAGTGTTAGCCAGCCGAAAAAGGTCATAACTGATATCCGCAGTTACACAAGTGATAAAATCAGCTAGTTTAGTTGATAATAGCTGCTAGTCAGTAGTGTTAGAAAACCAGCTACTACCAATAGATATTTGATACTGCCGTATAATTTAAAGAAATCTTTTGAAATATACAGTGACCAACCAATAGTGAACAACCGTAGTTCAACAACCGTAGTCAATAAACAATACTTATAAAATTTCGCGACTAATCAATCAGTCGAACCGCTGGCCACTACCTCGCTATTTGTATTTATAAATCGTGCATTTTGATTTGAACCTCAGTCCACAATATCTCAGCGGCACCCACAAAGACGGCAGTGAAAGTACCCTCTGGAACCTATAGGTGTAGGACGTGAGCGACTCGCGAAGTATCTTCGACAACATTTACTCCGAAGAGTTTCGCCCGTCCAGCACATAGTTATTAGACAAATCTGCTTGTCTGATATTCCTCAGAATCCTAAAACGACACTGTACAACCAGTGCGTGTTGACAGTGATAATTTACAGAACTAAAACGTGGTCCTTCACTACTGCTTGTATGAAGAAGCTCAATGTCACTCAGCGTGGGATGGAAATGGTTTCGCTCGGATTTTTTCTGTGGAATAAAGTCCATAATAAAGATATCCGTAAAAGAATAAAAGAAACTGACAGGTTTTTTTACAGAATGACAGTGACAAACAGGCACACAGTGTACCTGATGGTAAATGGATTCTGTGGCCCACAGACATCTACATTTATCCTCGATTAAGAATAAAAACATAGATGCGTTGTCACCTCTGAGGACTAAGATGGAATGCGTCGTTTCCAGTAAAAAGGGTCTCTGGAATAGAAATAGAAATAGAAATAGAAATAGATACTTATTGAAAGTCACTTTTTTAATTTACCACTGGTTCGCAAAAAAAACCTCTGTCCTGGGAAGAACCAGCAAGAAACCCAGCGGGATCTCTTCTGGATCTCTTCACTCACCATACGAAACATGGCAGTATTAAGATGCTATTTTACGGTGGTATTCTGTGAGAGATTGGCCCTTCCCCGGTTGAACCGACTCATTCGTGCTACAATCATATTATAGCTAGAACGTGGCTCTACCACGTATAGAATTAGACAGTAACTTTGCAATCAAAGTTAAAATATTTGTTATTTTTGAGGTAATAATTTTGCCATGTTAAATTAAATCCCAGTGCCTCTTTAGTTTATTCATTACCTTTACAAATATTAAAACATTAACAAATTACACAAATTTTATTTCATAATCCATGGTTATGCTTAAAATTTCTTATTAATTATATTTCTTTAATTGAACACATTAGGCAAACATTTTTGAAAATTGATTTTATTGTAAATAAAACTAAGAAAACAGTAATTAAGAAAACTCGACTGCGTAAAAAAATCCTTTTCTCTCCCTCAAATATATATATATACATAAAAAAAAAAAAAAAAAAACATATATATATATATATATATATATATATATAATTAAGACGAATCTAAGGACACCTCATCTATTACAAGCCATCAACAAATACATTACATACATACTCTCGAAAAATATTACTTTGGGGCAGTCGGGTTAAAATAAAACAAACAAAAACTATATCAACTTATTCTTGCAGTGCTTAAAGCTCAAAACAATTGATTCGATCAAAAGGAAACTGTAAGCAAACCTTTCGAAGGTTAAAAGGCATTCGATTTAATTTTAAGATACCCAAACGAAGGCGACTTGAACTACGGTGCGGCGGGCGTTCACAGCCCGCGATAAATTCATTATGCTCCCGCTAAGCAAAAACACAACTTCGACACAGCTGGCCGCCGTTAATCTGAGAATAATGGTTGCGAAGATTTATCGAGTGCGCGCGAATAAAAAGAGGTCGAAACAGGCTTGATTGACGCTGAAATGTACGAGTAATTAAAAGTTGGCGTGCCGGTCTTACCTTAGGGTACCTTCAGTTGCATAAACTTATACTAATTAGCGAGAAATTCTTTCGCCTTCAAGCCTTCAAGATTTGGAACTTACTGTAAACTTCGGCGGGACTGTCGCAGCTTTAATTGGGAATGTTGGAGAATACGCTTTGTCATGAAATACGTTTCGCCGTCGAACAAACGGTGATTGTAGAAGTTGAGTTTCGCGAGTTTGGCGAGAAATTTCGCATGGGCGCTCAGTTTTATCTGTTTTTCTTTGCAAATGTGTAACGAGAGTAAGGACATAATTTTGTATTTACTTTTA